AATCTAGCTATTATCAATCAACACTGGACATTTCTACTAACTTTGAGATTTTTAACAATATTTTAAGAATCTGATTTAATTTAAATAAAAAAAACTAAATAAAAAAAAGATTGACAACCTTGTGTTAAGAGGTTGTTTTGTCAAATTGTGTCCTATTTTTCTAAAGGAGTGGCTCTCCCAACTAACTAACAAGTTAGATACGATGGCATAATGGAGAACAGAATCTGGCTTAAAGCACAGTACAGCTGTGACCTCACAGCTTAAATATCGTTTACTAATGATCACTGAAGTATTGATGAGGCTAAGAGCTTTCTGTCAGATGCAGGTGGCATCACAGTTTGAGTTGGGGAGGAAGCAAATATTGGGCAAAAAATAAATAAATAAAAAGAGGCTAGATTGAGCTATGTCAGTGATGTGGGTTTGGCGAATCACTGGGTCTGAGCAACAGGACCAGCAGGAGAACAAAGTGGTCTCACAGGCAGCAGTCCTCCTCCTCTTTACTGTATGGGTGGACGTCGGGATGGGGGGGGCAATTTTGTTTGTTATTTATCTTTGGTCACAATCTGTGTTGCTCGTGTACGTGTACATCATTTGAGAAGTTAACAGAACAACAATAATACAAGTCTAAGGTATATACTGTGAATAAAACTGTTGACGACTCAAAGTGCAAGTCATTTTCAATCTGGCAGTTTGTATAGCCTTACTCGAATCTCCTGTATTTATGTAACACTTGTATCACATAAGTGCATATCGAAAGGGTACAAAAAGAAAATGGAGCAAAGTCGACAAAATGGGAAAATCTACGAGGACTCAACATGACAATGCTTCTAGCCTCTGCCACTGACGACTGGTTAAGCTACAGGAAACTAAACAAAGTGTTCACTGTGTTGGTGATCTAAACATTGGCCAACTGTTCATCGTTTCTCTGCTGATTCTTTAATAAAAAAAATTTAAAAAATAAAGATTTGTTTTCATTTCCTTCCTTTTATGTTGTGGTGCCTGGAAATACTGACCTTCCCTGGGCTTCCCTGAGTACACTTGAGCTGTGTATGGAATATTACAGGAGAAGTGTCATTGGACTGGATTTGTCAACATAAAAATACAAGCAACTTATTTTACGTGAGAACAAAAAAAAAGATATTTTTTATGCATTGTGAACGGCAGCCATGAATCAAGACAAAACATATTCAGCATAGCAAACATAGTCATAGCTGTAGCTTAGGGCCGACATTTAACATTTAACGGCTTGTTGGAAACAATTAATGGGTCCAATGAATCTAATAAATGTCAGATTTCAAAATTATTATCCACAAAAAAATCATTTATTCTATCAAAAGTCTGAAAAATCAACAAGCCCAAGAAACCCAAACATATTCAATTTCTAATGACACGAGATAGAAATGAATCATTAAAACTGTTCATAAATGTTCAATCCAGTACTTAATTAACCCCTTCAGTGTTATCACATGTATACACCCAGTTAACAGCTGATCGTGTTGTAAAAGCACATCTGGCTCAGTCTCCACTGTACACCATTGTTTACACGTTGGTATGGTATAGGTATGTTTTACTTAATCATCAACGTCCGACAGCGATTTTGAACAGCTGTTCTGAACTACAGATGTTTTCCACTGTATACTTACATCCAGTGTCCCACAGCTTCATACACTACTGGTCCCTAAGACTGGAGGATAATGTCAATGTGCACTGTAATGTGTGTGTGTGACGGGGACAATGTCAATGCCGTTTACCTCCTCGGGACAAAGTTCACAGGCCTTGGCGAGTGTCATACGTGCGCTGTGCGAACGCTCCAGGAAATAGCCGTTGGAGGTCTCGTTGCTCTGGACTGGAGGGGACCAGTTGTTGTAAGTGTACTGGGGGTTCCCCGTGTACGGCCTCCTCTCCAGCTCGTCCCCTAACCACTCAACCGCCCACGTCCACTTCCGTTTCAGGTCACCGTTGCTCTGTGTGCACAAGAAGGAAACGGGGATTAGAATCGCGGCTCCACCTGTTGAATGCAGGAGTTTTATCAACAGGAAATTTGACAGAAAAAAAGGAGCAAAAAGAGCGTTGGCTCTTATTCAGTCACTCTTGGACGTATGTTTGCTGGTGTTACAGAGAGATTGAAACCAGTGGAGAAGCAAGAACTGTGTAGTGAGTATTGAAATACCAGGACTATTTTTCTGACCGATAGTCGGCCCTTGTTAATCGATCATGAATTGTTAACCAGCAAGAGTAGTGCCTTGCATGCGAGGACTGTGCTGGTGGTGCCCAACAAGCCGCCAGCTGCAACAACAACTGATGCACAAACAGGCTAAAATGTCAAATGCATCACCAGCTGCAGTGTACGTGCAAAACAAGCTACCGAGTCCCCAGTTCACCCATCTGAGAGTTAGAAGTCACAGTGTTGTGCGCGTTGTCATAGACACATGGGTCACTTTCCCTTAAGTCTCCACCGCATCAACTAGTTTAATCTCCGAAGCTGTCAGCTATGCGTCTGCCGGGACACTCTGCACAGGAAAACCGCCAGTGTATGTTAGCGATTGTCCAGTCAAGATAGTGTGTGCGACAATGAGCATCAAGTTAGCATTAACATTATAGCTGTGAACGTTTGTGTCCAACAATGTTCCTTTAAGTGACAAGCCGCTCCTCAGAGATAGAGATAGAGCTCCATCTGTCACTAAGTGTACCTGGAGGATCTGGTAAGCCACGGAGCAGTTGCTAAAGAGGGCCACCATGCACTTGATGCACTGGTAGGCCCGTTTCTGGTAGTGGTTCTTGGAGCGCTGGATGGTGTCAAAGAGCCCATCTCTGTCATCAGGAATGCCCTTCAGCACATTGTGGATCCTACACGAGCAAACGGGGAAAGAAGATATATAAACTCTGATCACACCCCAAAAAACCAACAATGCAGCATTCGCACTTTAATCACCGTGCAATCGGTCTGACCTGTGCGTCTGCCAGGAGTCCTCGATGAGCAGGATCTGTAGCAGCAAGTCCAGGTAAGGCCTCAGCTCATAGGTGTAGGAGTACGCCACCTGCACACGCACAACACGCATAATGTGAAGTGACAGCGGACACATGCGAGCGAGCCGCCTGCGGAATTAGAGTTGGTGGAAACATTTACCTGCCAGAGCAGCTCACTGAGCACGGTAGAGGAGAACTGAGGGTTCTCCCAGCAGCTGAAGCGGAGCAGCTTCACCGTCTCCTCGGAGTTGCTGCAGTCCTCGATGATCTTCTTCACGTAGCTGGTCCTCACGAACAAGATCTCCGCCACCAGCTGCTGCACCGGCATCACCGGGGCCGTCAAGATGGTGTCACCATACGGGTTGGGGAGAGGAGGGTTACCTGGGGAGGGTAAAAGGGGGAGGGACTAAGTAAGTGATCTGAAATGCATGTAGTTATTAAAAAGGCAAAAAATAGGTGTTTCTATCTATTAAAGCCCTCAGCTCCAAGCTCTACACAACGCAGAGGCTCAGACTGCCTGGTTTGTCAGTCACTAGATCCTGAGCAAGGATGAAAATCCTCATTGGGCTCCAACTCTGCTTCCCGATTTATTACTGGCTCATATCTGCAGCGTTCGCGTCACATTTTGTGTGGCTGAAGAGTAAAGAACGAAACAAAAAAACAACAACAACTCACCATTGATGGAGGACTGCATGCGTGAGGAGACGTCACAGCAACGGACCAGCTGGGAGACCACAGTGTAGAGCTTGCCCAGCTCAGCGTACTGATACTTAATGGGAGGGCCGGGACCCTCGTCCAGAGCGACCAACATGAAAGTAGCAGGAACGTTCAGCTTCAACAGCTGGGTCTTTTCTGCCAGTCCTGCAAATGGGACGGGGGGGGGAGCAGCATTTTAAGTCCCAGGACAAATTATTAATTACAGTTTTACATAAACCTTGCTTGTACAATACACTCAGCAACAGCTGTACACGTCAGCCGTGCGATTGCCGTGTGCTTCTTACCCAGATTGGCATACATGACAAAGAGGTTGAAGTACTGCTGCAGGTGACGGCCGTGTTCAGACACCTCTCTTCTGAGCAGGTTGAGTACGGCTCTCAACAGGTGGTCACTTAAACTGAGGTTATCACCGCCCTGATAGACAAACACGGGAGAAATAGCAGACACGCGCCAGCAGGGTTACAACAAGCTAAAGTACAGGACGAGAAACCTCTGTGATAAACTGAGGTGAACTGCTTTAGTTATCTTTCAGGACAATCGTGATTCAAAAAACAGCTTCAAAGTATCTTCCAGAGAGTCCTAATAAAAAAATGTTTTTCCCTCCACAGAGCTCGGAAGTCTGGAACCAACCTGAGTGGAGGGTCCGGGCGAGGCAGTGGGGGAGGGGCACGGGCCGTCTTGCAGCGAGAAGTGAGCGATGAAGACTATGAGCTTGGCAAACGCGCCGCGGACCTCGGCGCTCGGGCACTCGAGCAGGTACTCCGAGAACCGGTTGGGGTAAGCAAACAGGACTTTGTGTGCAAACCAATAGCGTACATTCTTACTGTGTCTCAGCAGGATGCAGAGGGCGTCATACCTGGAGGGGAGGACCAAGAGAATATGATTAAGAGAGGACGACGAAACGGAAAACCAAAAACACGAGGCGGATGGAGCTTACCAGTCGCTGGCGGGACCCCGTACTACTTTCTTGGTGTGAAAACCTGTGCTGAAGAGGAACCTAGCAGCCAGCTGAGCACTTATCATAGCAATCTCCTCTGCCTCTGGCAGAAGATGGTCTTGTCCTGATAAAAAATTTAAAAAAAGGACAGCAGCGATAAAAACAGTGACAATCTTCCTGGTAATTTGCTTATAAGTACTTTAACATGAGCTGACAATCTATGACGCTTAACCAAGAGACCAACGTAAAGGCTTCATTTAACTCGCTGTTGGATTACTGAATTGTTACAAAGAGTAAATCTTGTGAGCAGTGATTTGACATGAATAGTGATGACCCAGAAGGAGCGTTAGCGTGGATATGTACAGTACACGCCACAGCATACATGAACGTACATTGCAGTTTGCAAGGAGGGCAGTGAGACACTTCTCCTGTGTTTTGGCTGTCCTCCAGCACACTGGGTTTGAAATTTAATTATAACTACGAGGTTATAGAGCAGACTTTCTGCTTTAAGGGTGTTTGTTAATTAAGTCTAATTCGTCTTTTGTCTCTCCAATTTGATGCCTATGAATAAAATGCCACAGATGAAAACATCCTTAAAATAAAGCAGTCGGCAGCTTAACCTCGGTCACAGTTTCGATCAAAATCCAATGTGCTGCAGTACATGGATACTGTGCTACATATACATCATATCATGAATAGTGATGTAAAAGACACGGAATGATCGAGAAAATCCACGTCTCATCCTTGTTCAATCCAGTAAAAACTAAGAAGAGTTAAGGCTCAGAGGATGCTCCAAAAAATGTCAAGTGATCTCTGAGTAAGGCCAGAAAATAATATGTCAAATCAAACATTGTCTAAAAATCTAGCTTACAACAATAAGTTTTTTTTTTGTTTTTTTTAATCTTTGCTGCTGAAAATATAAAAACGTATCTCAAATGGATACAAAGTAGCTAACAAAGTATAAAGATGACTGCCCTCAAACATGTGTTTTCCTGTGAAACTTTACGGGGCTCTGGTTCCGTTAATAATGCATTCACAGAGACAGTGCATTTCTGGGAAGCCCGTGCTAAATGCTACTGACCACCAATTATTTCCACTGGGATGCTGTGCATTTACGTCACTTAAAAAAAAAAAAAAAAAAAAATTATACACACATACACACACACACGTATATATATACACACACACACACACACACACACACACACACACACACACACGTATACACGTATACACACACACGTATACACGTATACACACACACACGTATACACGTATACACACACACACGTATACACGTATACACGTATACACACGTATACACACATATACACATATATATACACACGTATACACACATATACACATATATCTACACACACACGTATATATACACACACACGTATATATACACACACACGTATATATACACACACACGTATATATACACACACACGTATATATACACACACACGTATATATACACGTATATATACACGTATATATACACACGTATATACACACGTATATATACACACGTATATACACACGTATATATACACGTATACATACATACGTATATACGTATACATATATACGTATACATATATACGTA